TGGGTGGTGTGGCTGTGTGTGTGTGGGTGTGGGCGCCCGTCCTCCCCCGTCCTCTCGCCCCCCCGTCTCCTCCCCCCTCTGGTTCTGGACAGGTACTTTTTTTTGTCACCAGTGCCAGGTGGCAGCAGCTCCATTCATCTTTGTGTCGTCCAGAGGTGACACTCCATCAGCTGAATGGATTAGTCTCATTGGTTATTTAATTTATTGATGTTTTCCTCTCCCGGGGATAATGGCGGTGTGGAGCGCTGATGGATGAGCGCGCACGTCTGCCTTCACATCGTTGGGGTTCAGTCAGTCTTACCAGACACACTTATGTAACAGACCCCTCCAACGTCAGGCGTGTTCGTGTGACAGGTGCCTCAGAGACCGTAGAGATGACATGAAAGGACCGTCTGATGTCAGCGCCGCCGCCGCCGCCGCACAGATCTGAGGTCAGAATTGATGACTTCACCATCACTAGAGTTTTAGTTTCACTGAATCTCCTGGATAAAAGAAAATGAAAATGGTGGATCAATAACCAGCAGCTTGTATTAAGGGTTTCTGTGATTTTTCTTTTTTTTGGGTGAGGGGGCTCAACCTCAGGTCTGCGGCCCCGGCTTGACTGAGATGAGGACGGACAGATTGTCCAGGACTGTAGATCTTTGAGTTTAGAAGTTTAGAACCAAGTTCTACATTTGAATTCAAATCACCTCATGATTTTTATTTTTTTGCTTTTTTCATCATTATGTTCCTGGACGGGAAACTTAACCCTGACGTGATCGTACCCACAGGGCGAAGCCACAGTCTGTGTTATCGTAGAGCTGGGACCAAGCCCGGAAAAATAGGGGGTGGGGTTGGATGTGGTGGTGGGCCCGTCCCTCCGTGTCTCGTTGTCCTCACTCTCGATCTGCACATCTGTCTGCTCATTGATCACAGAGGGAAGTGCTTCATGGACACAGTGGGGCAGCAGCAGCCTGAAGATCACAACAGATGTGTGTCGCTCTCTGGCAGCCTCTCACCCCCCCCTCACCCTCTCTCACCCCTCTCACCCTCTCACTCACCCAAACACCTTGAAAAGTTTTTTTTGTTCTTTTTTTAACCTTTTTATCCACTCAGCCAGAGTTTTTTTTTTCTGGAAACAGAAGCTGTTTCCAGACTGTACGGCTCTACGCCTGCTGCTGAACACTGCCCTCTCTGGTAGATAGTGGTAACTACATTACAAAGTTCATACTTTTGGGGAAAAAAATTCAGAGAACTGGGTTCTTTACTGACCCACTGTTCCACTGCCTAGAGCAGTGAGCATCAACTGGTGGCCCACGGGCTGAATCTGGCCCACCAAAACGTCCAATCCGGCCCGTGATTCTATTCCAAAATGAACATTGAATAATAATCTTAGGATAAAATTCGTCAACATAAAAAATAGGCAGGAAAAATTTTGTGGATTTAAACACAAAAAGAATGAAGAGTAAAACAGGTTTTCTGCCTGTCGACACACTAGCGTGGGCTCTACTGATGTAAAGGTTAGCTTCGAGCATCGTTAGCTCTTTTGTCTTCAGGGCTATTGTTTGAGAAATAGTCGTTAAAAAAAAACAAACACCACAGCTTCTTTAAAACCCTCTGTTCTACTCGATGAAATTTAGAGCGTTCTCCTCCCGGGGAATATCAGTCGTCGAACCAAACCTCTGGTGTTCGACTGCTGCACACACACATACACACACACACACGAGTCAGAGGAACTTGGTTGTTCTTACCAACTTTCTTTACAAACGTCGTTCTAATGAGGTCACTGAATTTTAAGTTTCCTTTGAATGCCGTCTGCAAAAGCGCATTGTGTGCAAGTCGCCAACACACTGCTGACTCCAAAACCTCCTCCGGCTTCAACATCAGCACAAAAAAACAGAAACTTTGTTGCCTGTGTTAGCATGGTCTATGTAGCGACGGAGATGTCGACGTTAGCTGGTCAAAAAGTCCTCAGACAAACGGAAACACGTCTTTATTTATATCAATATTACAAACGTATTTTCCCTTCATTTCTTCTCCAGTGGTGTCTCCATCAGGGGATTCTGGGGGATAACCTTTGACCTTTGATATCAGGTCACAAGCCCTTTAGTCGTAACATTCACAGCAAATGAACTGATTGTTTTTTTATTTCTATAAATTAAAGTTAACTTTAGCATCAAACTTTTTTTAGCATCCTGTCCTCGCTCGTGTTAAAATCCGAAACTGCTGCCGCTGCAAAAACTGTGCCGCAGTGTAAATAAATAAAAGCAGAAAAAAAGGATCAAAGTTAGTTTTGAATTAAACACTTTCTTCTTTGAGCTCTTACAGGGACGTGAACTCTCAAGGCTTGGTTTTCTGGTGTGTGTTTTTTATTCTATTCTAATTTTTTTTCTCGCTCATTTTCTCACAGATTAAAAACCTTCACTGGGGTTTTTTTTTATAAAGATGTTGCTTCACACTGGAGAGGAGGAGAACCACAGGGAAAAGACGGTTTTAAAAAGCTAATACAGGTGTTCAAGTCCTCCTCCTCCTCCTCTGCTCCTATAGGGAGTAAATCCTCTGTAAATGAGGCGACTTCCTGCTGCGATGTTTCCTTTAATGTAAAAAGTATTAAAATGAGAATTTTCC